CTCTCTCTCTCTCTCTCTCTCTCTCTCTCTCTCTCTCTCTCTCTCTCTCTCTCTCTCTCTCTCTCTCTCTCTCTCTCTCTCTCTCGTGCGTGCGTTCACTCGTTCACATGAATGTTCGACGCGCAATGCACGACTGTGTCGCGTGCGAACGCTCCCCCCGCTATATATCGCCCCGCGACGAAACGCGGGCCTTTTTTTCGGGACCACAACCTCCCGGGAGGCTCCCCTGAACACCGCCGACACTCCAGCGCCCTCAGAGGCACCCCCCCAGCCCTGACATACCCCTGCGCAAACGCGTCAACTGCGTTCAGGGGCGTTCATTGAATGCGCGTTCACAGCGTTCAAAAACGGAACGCCAAACGTGCGTTCAATGAACGCGCGGTAACATAGAATATAATGAAGGGAATTCGGGCAGGCTGAGCATACCCTTAAGTTAGGGCGGTTCAGTCCTATGCTCGTGATGATGTAAAGGAGCAGAGAGTTGGTATAAATCTTCTTTTATGTTCCCTTTTAAACACAAGGTAGGATTGGATGTCTCCCTAAGTTGGATGGGTCTGATAATCTGCCAAATAAGAGAGAAACCTATAAAGTTTGTGCAAGTGTATCAGTGGTTGTTCTCATATATTGTCGTTACGGAGGCTAGGCGTACCCTTAAGTTAGGGCGACTTAGTCATACGTCGTTTGTACTTTGTTCAAGCAGATCAGGTGTACCCGTAAGTTAGCGCGGCCTAGTCACAGTATCTTATGTACATAAACCTGTTCAAGCTAGCTAGGTGTACCCTTAAGTTAGGGCGACCTAGTGATATGCTCTTGTCGTTGATGTTATGTAGGTTGGACGTACCCTTAAGTTAAAGTGGTCTGACCATTCGTTGCTTGTACTTGTTTTAGGCAGGTTAGGCACACCTCTAAGTTGAGGCAGTCTAATCCTATGCCCTATGTAACCTTGTCTAGAGCTGACTAGGCATACCCTTAAGTTAGGGCAGTCTAGTTTATGCTTTATGTCGTTAGTTAAGTAGAAGCCAGACATACCCTTAAGTTAGGGCGGTCTGGGCATATGTTTTATGACTAGAGTCGATGTGGTGTTGGGCATACCCTTAAGTTAGGGCAGTCTAGTTGTGTGTACCTTTATCTGTTTACTTAGGCAGGTTGGACATACCCTTAAGTTAGGGCCCTGTCTGATCGTATGTCATAAGTGAGGGGGACGTAAGAAGGGAAAGAACGGAGTGATCTAACGAACTATTCGGCCTAAATCGATGTGGGACTGTGAGAGATGTATGTTTATTTATGTTTGTGGGCTCTCACTCTGGGGTGTCATTTCGATAGGTTAGCTGCTTAGATGCTCACCAAGTGTTGGAGCCATAGGTAGATGAGATGGATGATGGGAGGGAGAGCTTGGGATAAAGATAGGACTGACCTTTCTTGAAGGTAAAATTGATGATAGCACACGATTCCATCTTTTGGAGGGGATCGTGTAAACTATCTTCAGTCCTAACTACAAAGCAAGTGTCAGAAGTTAGTCCCAAGTACAACTTTATTTTGTCTTTGTGTTTTCAGCTTTGTATAAATTTTGACAGCCTCCTGTTTCTACGGGAAGCGCGACTGAAATTTCTACATATCTGAGAGAGTTAGTTATTTTAGGACTTGTAGAAATTATGGAAAGGCATATTTCCTACGGGAAGCGCTGCCAAAATTTTGTAGAATTTGGAGAGTTAGATTATTTTTAACTAGGAGGAATCTGACAATCCATCCTGTTTAGGGGATATGCTGCCATAATTTCTTACATTTGTAGATAAACATCAGAGGTTAGTTAGAAAGGTAGGATTATTTCTTGATCACTCAAACATGGCTTGGGTATTGGCCTGTGCTGCATTGCAGGTCACCTTTATTTAGATTGATTCAGGGCTTGACTATCTTCAAGCTGATCCTACAAGGATCACCCTCTGTTATCCTTAGATAACAGGTCGGTTTCCGACTCAACTCTAATTCACTCTTGCCACTCAACCTAAAGGCTTTAGCCCTGTGGTTTGATTTGTTTTGTTGTGTTTTTGCCCAGACTTTAATTGGATGGCCATTTAATAAAGATGCTGAGTATTTTATTTTGAGACTCGCACAAAGAGTGAGGTTTGTATGGTTAAAGCGAGGGGTGCGAGCGCTGAGAATGGTTGAAGTTGACCCCGTGTAGTGTGTGCTCTGTTGATGTGGATCTTTGATGTGATTGCAGGTATGTTTTGTGAGTTGAATCCAGACTCGATTTTGTCAATGATTATATATATACTTTTGAAAGAAGCCGCACTGTGATTGTGAGAGTGATCGTCTCCTATCTCATAACTTTTATATCATATTTTTTTGTGTCTGCACGACCCATTGAGGTCGCACACAATGATTAAATAAGTTCTGCATCGAGAGAAAATAGAGAACCCTTCTTAGCTCTTGCTTTTTAGGATTAGCATGGTTGGACGTTGTAGTCTGTGACAGCCGTCAAAGTCAAACCCCTTGATCTCTGGCCGCCACGACAGCTTGGAGTTGTCTACTCAACCCCTTTGCACAGAGTGCAGAAGAGGGTGTGGTCTTCAACCGCGCATGGCCGTTGTCCAGCGTCGAGAGATTAACCCTCAAGGCGCGTGTCAGCCGACACTTGAGTGTCGAACGAGACCCTCGAGATTAACGAGGATCGCTTGAGTATGGGTACTAGATAGTACGCCACCATTGCGACCGCTTGCGTATGCTTGCATTGCAAATCGATATGAGTTAGCCCTACGTCCACACGGTTTTATACTAAGCCTCGCATGTAACGCTTATCCGATTTTTGCATCAGAAAGTTATGGGTTGGATGCTGAAGGGAATAAGAGTATTGTTGCGTTGTTGTGTTGTTGTGTTGTTGTATTGTTGTGGTGTAACGCGTCGATGCGTCCTAGTCGACCGGCGTTGAGTCGCGTTTGGGACCTCAGCCCCCTAGTGCGTCGATTCGCGTACGGGTTTGACCTTTGGGCGTTCGACCGCGCGTATCCCCTATGCTACAGCGAACGAGAAACGCCCTCGGCTGGGCCACCTCTGCAATCGCATACGAAAAACTTTCACATGTGGTTCAGTAGCTCGGCAGGTATATGCTCACCTAAGGGATGGTGACAACTCCCACAGGTGGAGGTAAGCGGTGCCTTGCGTCACCTTGTCCTATCGTAGGGGCTCGCGAGAGGTACGGCTAGCGCACTCGGCCGGAGCGGCAAACGCTCTGCGTTACAAGTCCTGCCAAATCCTGCGTGATGCGGCGGAGAGGGTCCCCGTGCGGGACCGATGCGCTCGACATCAGATTCCGAGTTTTGCAAGG